CACTGTAACTGTAAAGACAAAGGATAAATTAGGAACCCTGATTAAATTCTAATGCTAAAGTAGCCAGGCATTGTAAATTTAATATATTATTGAAAGCTAATTATTTTCTTATCTTTAGTCAAAGATCCGTGTAATAGTTTTCTAAATGTTTGTCAGCAAGGAACTTCAATATAGTTATTCTTCAGTTTATGGGAAATTCACACATTGGAATTGCTGACCTCTTCCTTAGAGGTGATGGGAGTGAGTAATTCTTGAGTATTCTGGCACAGTATCTGCTAAACGTGTGTTGCATTAAATTGAGAGCTTAGAGTGAGAAATAGTCCCTGAACCATCAGGATCAGTTCTGACGCAGGTACTATGGCCTGTCCATGGTTATCCTGCCTTAATCTGTAATTAAAGTTCTCATGGAACAATGTGGTAAATTATGACTAAGTTAACAAACTTTAGTATGGATTGCTAGTACCAAAGTGTTTCTGAAAATTCTGGAACATACCTAATATTTGTAACATTGCATGTGGAAAATAACTTACAAATGAATTTTTGGAATTAAACACATTAGTAATTTGGGGACACCTATGGCATGATTAGAGTCAAATTATGTTTTTTATCATAATTCTTAACATGGATTTTGATTTTTAAAAAGGAGGAAAGTTTTATAATATAGTAACGATAGTTCTCCTGAATAACTGCTATACATGTAATTTTTGGAAATTGTGTGTTTTGAAACAATATATTTCCTTCTTTGTTTTGGGTACTAGCAAGTTTTGAGTCAGATTTCTGGTCCATTTTGTTTTTATATTGGCTAATTCCTGTTAATTTTGTGAAACAAAGTCCGGTTAAAAAATTCTCAGGAAGGCACTGACTTATACATGCATAATGTAAAAGTTTATTTAAAAATTAGTTCATTTGTAAATTTTAGAATATTGTTTGTGAAAAAGATCTGACCTACAGTCTATGATGGTAGTAAGTTACCATTTATTAAAAGCCATGATGAGTATGGTATCAGGAGTCTGATATACTTAATGTCATTTAATCCTTATAATAATTTTGCCCCAGTACTATTTATCATTACCACCAAGTACCAAAGGCCATTTGAGACAATTATTATGTTACCTTATTTTATAGACAAGGAAACTGAAAATCAGAGGCTAATAAGTAACTACCCAAAGTCAGCTGGCGTTCTGAACCAAGGTTGCTGTGACTCCTAACACCAGAGCTCTTTTTACTTAGCTTCATTTCCTGTAAGAAACCTCATGACTCAGAAGAGAGCAGGGTAAATTGTATTGGAAACGCATCTTTCTTCTTCCCATGCACTTATTGAACGTATAGCATGAAGAGGCCACAGGAGTTTGAATCTTTAAGATGTTTGTACTAATTATAAACTATTTATTTATTTATTTTGATAGAAAAAGCAGCGATGTAGACTTGATGGACAAGAAACAAAAGGATCTAAGTTCATTACCTCCAATGCAAGTGATTTCAGTGACCCAGTCTACAAAGAGATTGCTATTACGAATGGTTGCATTAATAGAATGAGTAAGGAAGAGCTCAGAGCTAAACTTTCAGAGTTCAAGCTTGAAACCAGGTAATTAAAAATAACTTTTTAAAATTATGAAAGTAGTATATGCTTATAGAAAATCTTGAAAACACTGAAAAATTAAAAATCATCTATAATCCTACCATAAAGAGATAACCAGTTATTAATAATAATAACCATTATTAGTCATTAAGTAACAGTTATAATTACATTCCTATACATGAATCTTTGTGTGACTCTGATTATTTCTGTCTTTTATTGTGTGTGTGTATATATATATATATATATATGTGTGTATAATCAATTTATAATGTGTCAATGTCTAGTGTACAGCATAATGCTTCGTTCATACATGAACATACATATATTTTTTTTCATATTTTTCACCGTAAGTTTCAGGATACCGAATATAGTTCCCTGTGCTATACAGTATGAACTTGTTGTTTATCTATTTTATACATATTAGCTACTATCTACAAATCTTGAACTCCCAATTTTTCCCTTCCTACCTCCTCCCCTCTTGTAACCATAAGTTTGTTTTCTATGTCTGTGAATCTGTTTCTGATTTGTAAATAAGGTAGTCTTTTTTTTTTTAGTTTCCACATACAAGTGATACATGGTATTTTTCTTTCTCTTTCTGGCTTACTTCACTTAGAAAGACAATCTCCAGCTCCATCCATGTTGCTGCAGGTGGCATTATTTTATTATTTTTTATGGCTGAGTAGAATTCTGTCATATATGTAAATATACCACAACTTCTATATCCAGTCATCTGTTGATGGACATTTAGGTTGTCCATATCATGGCTCTTATATATAGTGTTGCTATGAAAATTGGGGTGCATGTATCTTTTTGAATTAAGATTCCCTCTGGATATATGCCCAGGAGTGAGCATGTATCTTACTGGATCATATGGTAAGTCTCTTTTTAGTCTTTTGAGGAATCTCCATACTGTTCTCCACAACGGCTGCACCAAACTACATTCCCACCAACAGTGTAGGAGGGTTCCCTTTTCTCCACACTCTGTCCAGCATTTATCATTTGTGAATTTTTGAATGATGGCCATTCTGATTGGTGTGAGGTGAAACCTCATTGTAGTTTTGATTTGCATTTCTCCGATAACTGGGCGGTATTGAGCATTATTTCATGTGCCTATTGGCCATCTGTATGTCTTCATTGGAGAATTGCTTGTTTAGGTCTTCTGCCCATTTATGGATTGGGTTGTTTGTTTTTTTCTTATTAAGTTGTATGAGCTGTTTATATATTCTGGAGATTAAGCCCTTGTCAGTCTCATCTTTTGCAAATATTTTCTCCCATTCCTTAGGTTGTCTTTTTGTTTTGCTTACGGTTTCCTTTGCTGTGCAAAAGCTTATAAGTTCATTTAGGTCCCATTTGTTTATTTTTGCTTTTATTTCTATTGCTTGGGTAGACTGCCCCAGGAGAACATTGCTAAGATTTATGTCAGATAGTGTTTTGCCTATGTTTTCTTCTAAAAGGTTTGTAGTGTTTTGTCTTATGTTTAAGTATTTAAGCCATTTTGAGTGTATTTTTGTGTATGGTGTGAAGGGAGTATTCTAACTTCATTGATTTACATGTAGGTGTCCAGTTATTCCAACACCACTTGCTGAAGAGACTGTCTTTTCTGTCAGTCTTTTTGATGATAGACTAAGATTGCTGAGTTAAAGCCTATGAATATTTTGATAATCTACCAGAAATGTATAGGGCTATCTATCTTTTTATACCAAATATGTTTAAATTTCTTTTTTAGTTGATCACTTGGTTGATGGATAATTATACCCTGTTAATGAGATTGAATGTTTTTCCTTTTATTTTGTTCATTTATATTATTTTTATAAAAAGAGTTTCTTTGAAACCAGAAAATTAGAGGAAAAAAAACTCTCACCTACCAGGAAATATTTTTTTCTTCTGTTTTAGTTTCTAAAAATATGCAGAATGAGAGTAAACATTAACTGTATATTGACTGAGAAAACAATGCAACTTAGCCAACTCAGTGTGAGTGTATGTATGTGTGCAAAATTTTTTGCAAAACAAACACTTTATTTTGACTTGGGACATGGGCAGGAATGACCTTTGGAATCCAGAAAAACATGTGGATTTTTGATATATACGAGAATTGCCAGGCATCAAGAAAAGAAAATTGGCTACACATAGTAAAGGAAAACTTACTGTTTTGGGATCCCTTTATTCTCTTATAAGTGTGGTATTCCTCCTCTTTGCTTTAAAATAAAGCTTCACTGCTTTTCAAAAGAACATATGTGTATTTTTTTTCCCTTCTGGATTGTCTACTCCATAATTTATGAAGAAAAATGTTACCTTCTTTCCCCCGTCTTTTCCTATTATGAAAATACAGCCTGTAGCCTACTTAAGATTTTCTGAGCAAAATTCTTGTCCTTCCTAGGTGTGAAGATAAGTTGCTTACTCCCAACTTACATGGAGCTAGAAATTTGGATGTATGTTTATACATTTAGTCAACAAACTCTTACTGAATTGTAAGCACTTAACTAGGTAATAAAGGTAAAACAGACCTATTCCCTACTTTGGGAAGCTCAGTCTTTAGGAAAATCTACAAACCAATAATCACAATACAGAGTGACCAGTGCTATATTGAAGGTCTGGCCAAGTACATCATGAGAATACAGAAGAGAGTCTGCCTCAGGAATTAAGGGGGTGACATTTGAATTGATTTAAAACAGAAAAGAGAGGGAAGTTATATTAGACACAAAGAAACCAGACTCCTGATTTCTGCTTGTTTGTTTTCTGCTACATGATCTTGCTTTTTCTTTGTACAGCTAAAGTTATGGAATATGAAATGGTGCCACATTTCGGGAAATGGCTTGTATTATGTTTTGTCTGTAGTATGTGACATACTGTAGGGAGGGGGAAGCATCTGAAGATGATGCTGAAATGATTGGTGATAGCCAAGTGGTGAAGAAACTCTGTGCTGAAGTCTACATTTTACCTTGTAAAGCGGAAGTGAGCCACTGAAAAAAAAAATACTCGTAAAACTGAAATCTCCTAAATCATATTCTACCCTTCGTAAATTAAGAAATCTACTTTCAATTAAGAATCTCCTGGGAGTTCAAAATTTGTAGATGCTGACAGGCATATGCAGAATAGATAAACAAGATTATACTGTATAACACAAGGAAATACATACAAGATCTTGTGGTAGCTCACAGCGAAAAAAATGTGACAATGAATATATGTATGTTCATGTATAACAAAAATCACGTTCTATACTGAAATTTGACACAACATTGTAAAAGTGACTAATAAAATAATGTTAAAAAAGAAAAGAATCTATGACAGTGTTCTTCTGGACATGGTATTTATTCTAGGGTATCTCCTAAATTAGTTTTCCTAGTTAAATAGCTAGCATTCAACTTTATATACTAAGCTTATAATGCTTTCATATTCATGTGGATTTTTTTAGTTGTCTCACTTAAAAAAGCCAAAAGAAAGGAAAGAGCACATCATATTTAATTTACCTGAATTTTCATTCTCTTAAATTTGTATTTGATCAGTAAAATAATTCAGTATTAATTTCAGTTTCGTATCATGTACTTCATCTTAATATGTAAGGCAACAGGGCTGTATAGGTGGTGTATGCTAACAAGGCTTATGATTTGAAAGACCAATATATATTTTATATACTGTACTACAAAAGTGAAGTAAACTTGTGAAGGAAAATATTGATGTTGTATTAAATGTTCTATTTTAATTAGCTCTTTGCTAACTTAACTTTGCATCTTGCTTTCTTTACATTTATTTTAGCTAACATTTTCTAAATTATGCTGTGACTGGCATTGTTCAACCAAGTGCCAACAGGTAAGAGTTCAGATTCTTGCCTGTAAAATTTGCCTGTGTTAATTTTATTCTTATTTTTCTTAGAGGTGTAAAGGATGTACTAAAGAAGAGACTGAAAAACTATTACAAGAAGCAGAAGCTGATGTTGAAAGAGGACAATTGTGTTGACAGTTACTATGACTACATTTGTATTATTGACTTCGAAGCCACTTGTGAAGAGGGTAACCCGCCTGAGTTCATACATGAAATAATTGAATTTCCTATTGTTTTACTGAACACTCATACCTTAGAAATAGTAAGTGAATTGTAATATTTAAATTTTACTTTTAGCAGCAGCTAGTCTGAGGTTAGCTAGTCAGGTGGAAGGTCCAATTTGCTGTTTTAGCTAGAGTTAGAATTCCAAAGAGGGGGTTTTTGCTCTGACTGCATACTTTTGATCAGCTTCATTAATAGAAAGGCTGTAATCAAATAATTTCAGAGTCTGCTGCTCTCCTTTTCCAGTAGCTAAAATTGTAGTGCTTTTTTCTCTTTGCTTAGAACATGTATCTGATTGGACATCAGAATCTCCTGGGGATTAAAAAAAAAAAAAAACTTGGCTTGCTGCTTGGCCCTCATCCCAGAGATTCTGATCCAGTTGTACTGTGGTAGGGCCCCAGCATCAGAATTTTTTTAAGCATCTCAGCTGATATGCAGTCAGGGTTGAGAACTACTGCAGTAGACTAATGTGTACTCTGATCTCTAAAAAATGATAATACACAGAAATTACCCTTAAACTTAGAACTGGTTATCTTTCTGGTGAAATGCTTTTGGGGGAAACGACTCTTGTAACCTTGGCTTCTAAGCCATATAAAATATACGCTTTAGATATTTTCACCAGTGCACTATTTGTTCAGGAACTCAGCAGATATCCTCCAAATTATGATACCCCTTGCCTTATAAAATCTGAACAAGGATGTATCATAACATTTCATCTATCCAGGAGTTACTTCTGTGGTATCCGTAGTTGCCACCAGCACACTGGGGATAAGTATAAAAAGGCTTTGTGTTTTAAAATACATAGAATTGTTTCTGTGTGTTGTTTGAAGCTTTGTTTAGTTATATTCTTAATTAGCCTATTTATATAATTTCTTTGTCCAAAGCAGATTAAAGCT